TTCTCGCCTCCGTCTCCTGGCCCATGGAACACAGAATGGTACCTAGGCATGTCCCATAGTCCCATGGTCATATCCTACTCATCTATGCAGGACCAGACCAAATGTCCTCCCAGAGTCCTCCCCATGGGAAAGTGCTCCCTGCTTCTCTCCTCTGGCCATCCACCAAACCACTGATACTCCTTATCAGCTACTTGGAGTCCGTGGGTGGCACAAATGTGTCTGAGTCATCTAGTGCTGCTACAACAGAAATACCACAAGTGGATGGTTTTAATGAAGAGAAATTTATTTCCTCATAGTCAAAGTAGGCTAAAAGTCCAAATTCAGGGCATCAGCTCCAGGGGAAGGCTTTTTCTCTCTGTTGGCCTTCTTCTCTTCAGTGTTGCCCCGGACTAGGAGCTTCTCTGCGCAGGGACCCCAGTCCAAAGGAAGCGTTCTGCTCCTGGCACTGCTTTCTTGATGGTATGAGGTCCCCCCCGAGTTCTGGGACTTCTTGCAGTGGCTTTTGTAAAAGTACAAATCTTTTTTTGTAAATGTAAAAGCAATGCATTTTATTGCAGAAACTTTGGGAAATGCAAAAGAGAACCAAGAAGAAAATAAAGCTCACGATTATCCCATCACTCAGAGATAATCAATCAATATTTAAGTTCCTATCTTTCTAGTTTTCTTTCCATAGAGGAGTATATCTGTGCATGACATATGTTTTTGGTCTTCTTCCTCCCTACTTTTTATCAAAGAAAAGGGAATCATAGGTTACATAGCATGCTGGGCCTTACTCATTTTTTCTACATATCTTAACTCTGGAGATAAACATTAAAAAATGTGTTTAACAATTTTATAGGCAAAGATGGGATTTTATTTTATAATTTGCAAAACTTTGACTAGTGAAATTGAACATTTATTTATATCTTTATTGATCATTTTTATTTCTTACTTTGTGAATTGCCCATTCATGTCGTTAATCTTTTTTTAATAGATTCATAAAAGCACTTTATATATTAAAGATATTAACTCTTTATCACAGATTTTGCAAATATTTCCCCTGATTTATTTTTTTATTTTGCTGTGCTTTTTTTTGCCATATTGAAGTTTCCAAAGCAATCTAGTTAAATATCTCAGTCTTTTCTTTTATGCCATTTCTGTTAACAATTTGGTGAGTATTTTTCCAGACATTTCCTATGAATATGCACATATGTCTATAAATACATATATGTATATATATTTACAGATTTAGATGTATAAACTTTTCCTGCACGTTTAATATCATCACACACACAATTCTGCAATTTGCTCACTCGTATATTGTGGCTATCTTTCTACATTAGGTTTTAAAAATCTAATGCTAAACAGAGTGTTCTATTGTATGGGTTAACTATAATTTTATTAGACTAATCTTTTTTTTCATTTTCACAGTTAAATCTGGAAGTTATTTGCTGTATGAGAGAAATAAAGACCTAAGTTTATTTATTCCACTTGGTGAATCAATTGTCCTAATACCAAAAAACAAAAACAAAAAAATCCATTGCTGTCAAGTCATTTCCAACTCATGTACAGCAGAGTACTTCAAAGAACTACTCTGCTTCATAGGGTTTTCTTGGCTGTAATCTTTACAGAAGCAGATCACCAGGACTTTCTTCCACAGCACCACTGCATGGGTTTGAACTACCAACTTTTTGGTTAGTAGCTGGAGCAGAAACCATTTATACCACCCAGGGGCCACAATTCTCCCAATAACATTTACAAAATAATCTATCCTTTCCAAACTGTTTTGAAAAGATAATTTTATTGTTAAATGTCATATAGTAAATGGTAACTTTTTATCATACGTTGAATACTCATATATTAAAAACTTGGGTTTGTCTCTTGATTTTCTATTTTGTTTCCTTTACATATTTATTCTTTAACTAACACTACATTGTTTTAATTATTTTAGCTTTTTTGTATATATTAATATCTGTAAAATTAAATATAATTACCCCATTTAATGGTTTTCAATATTGCCTTGGTTTTTGTTTTTGTATTGTTTTTTTTGCACTTACAATGAACTTTAGACTCATCTGTGAAGTTCCCAAAACATCCCTTTATGATTTTGATTAGAATTGTGTTAAAATGGACAAAATTAAGAGTTATTGATATCTTTACAAAATAGTTATTTCAACCTATAACCATGTCTCTCTCCATCTATTCAAATTTTCTTTTTTATACATCAGTAAGATTTTTGTTTTCCCTGTATAAGTCTTGCATGTTTCCTCAAGTTTATTCCTAGATATTTTACATTTTGGTTAAATCATGAATGGGATTTTTAAAAAATATATTTTCTAACTATTATTAATATGTAGGAAAGTACCGATTTTGTGTACATTTTGTAATAGTTTGCTTTACTGAATTAGTCTAGTTGTTTTTCAGTTGATCCTTTTTTGAGTAAAAGTTTATCCAGAAGTATTTTTTTTTTTTATTGTACTTTAGATGAAGGTTTACGGAACAAATAGTTTCTCATTAAACAGTTAGTACACGTAGTCAGTTGATTCTCCTGAATTTCCCAAGTAGACAATCATGGCTCTGTTGTGCAATGGATAGCGTATTGGACTTCCAAGTAGACAATCGTATCACCTGCAAAATTATAATAGCAATACGAGAGAGAGAGAATACTTCTGTTTCTTCTTTTATAATATTTATACTTTGTTTCTTTTTATTTTCCTATTGCTTTGACTAGAACCAATTTTTGGCCCTATCAGTTATACAGTTCTCTCTTCTGGAATTCCTCTGTGTGCATAGACCTATTCCAATCAAAATCCAGTCCTTTCTGCTCCATTGAAACTGGACCTGTCAGGACAACCAAGGACCTCCAAGTTGTCAAATCAAATTATCACATCTATGTCCTCATCTTGCCTTAACTTTCAGTAGCATTTATCACAATTCATCACTTTCTCCTTCTTGAAACATTTTCTGTTCTTGGCTCCCATGTTTTCCTTCACTTTGCTGTCTCCTTTCCTGGATTCTCCTCTCTTCTCAACATTAGCATGTTCTATAGTTCAGTCATGAGATCTCTTTCCTTCTCGTATGTCTGCTCTCTCCATGGGTCATCTCATTATGCTATGGAGTTAAGGACCATCTAACTGCCAATGACTTCCAAATTTATATATCCTGATTTCTCTCCTGAACCCAGACTCAAATGACATATATACTTGATTGTTTTCTAAGAGGCATTTCAAACTTAATGTGTCTAAAACAACTCTTGATTTCTCCTTTCAAATATTCTCCTTTCTTAGTCTTCTCTGTCATTAAATGGCATTACCCAGTTACTCAAGCCAAAAACAAAGGAGTCATCTTTGATTTCTCTTTCCCCACCCCCTCCTCACCGCCCTATCATCCCATCCATCAGCAAATCTTGTTTATTTTACCTAAAAACACACCCCCAATCCATCTACTTCTTTATATCCATTGCTACCATTCTATTTCAAGAAACCATTCTCTCTATATATACTACTACAATGGCCTCCAACTGGCCTTCTTACTTCCTCTCTTGCCTCCATGTCAACCATTCATTCTTTACACAGCAGCCAAAATAATATTTTTAAAATGTAAATCAGAACAAATCACTCTCCTGCTTAAAACCCTCCAATGGTTCTGCCCTGTACTTATAATAAACTCCGAGCTCCTTACTCATGCCTACAAAACATTCCATGACCTGGCTCCTGCCCAGCTCTCCAACTTTCAATGCCCACCTTCCCCCTTGCTTTCTTTCTGTTCCTCAAATTCTTAACTTTTTCCTGCCGGAAGGCCTTTATAGCAGCTGTTTCTTCTTCTGGACTGCTTCTTCCCTCTTCCCCTACCATGGTTTTTTGAAGCATAGCACTAATCACAACTTGACGTTTCCCCCTTTATTTTTTATTATCTGTGTTTCTCACATACCGTAAAGGCTCCCTGAAAGTATAGATCTTACTTTCTTGCTCTCTGTTGGATTCCCAGCACCTGGAAGTTCTAGCACATACTAGGTATTCAGTAAATGCTTGTTGAAGGAATGAATGAATCTTCAAGTATTCCCTGAGACTAGGACAGTTTCTGGCACAGGGTAAGCTCTCATATGTGTATTTGTTGGATTAATGGATAAGTCTCTCCAACTAAACTGTAAGCTTCTTGAGAGCAGAAGCCTTGTTTTAAGTTTCTTTGTTTTCTCCACGACACCTAGCATGATAGGTGCTTAGTACCTATGCCTTGTTTGATTTATTTTTCTTTATAAAAGGGAAGGCTAAGAGTCCTTCTGTCTACTTAATACGCCTTACTTCTCTGGGAATAAATAGGTGACATGAGAGGAATGTCATGAGAACAGGGTGAATGACTGGAAGGTATAGGGGCTGGTCAATAATTCTTGGCTAGAATGGAGTTTAAAAGGGGAGTCTGAAAGCAGGAACGCAAACAGACACATGCACAGCAATATTCATTGCAGCAGTATCCACAATAGCTGAAAGATGAGAACAACCTAAGTGTCCATCAACAGAAGAATGGATAAACAAAATGTGGTCTATACAGACAATGGAATACTACTCAGCCAGAAAGAGAAATGAAGTCCTGATACGTGCTACAAACATGGAGGAACCTTAAAAACATCACACTGAATAGAATACATCAGTCACAAAAGGACAAATATTGTATGATTCCACTTGTATGAAAGACCTAGAACAGGCAAATGTTACAGACCTAAGGTAGTTACGAGGGGTAGGCAGGAGGGAGGGGGAAAAGGAACTTACTGCTTAGGAGACACTGAGCTTCTGCTAAGGGTGATGGAAAATGTTGAAAACAGATAATGGTGATGATTGCGCAACACAATGAATACAATTAATGTCACTTAATTGTATATGTGAAGAATGCTGAAATGGCAAATGTTTTGTTACACACATACTTGCCACAGTTTAAAAAAGGACAGGGGAAGAGTCTTCACCTTGTTATTTGTCTATCAAAATTCTAGCCATGATGCTACATTCTTTTTGGTGACTTTGTTCCAGGATGCAACCTATATCCTGATCATGGTGGATCCAGATGCCCCCAGCAGGTCTTCTCCCACAGCTCGCTTCTGGAGACATTGGCTGGTAACAGATATCAGCGTAAGTAAGCCAGCAGGTACTTTCTGACTCATTTGGGGTTATAGCTGGAAGGTTATCATACTGTCCAGTTCTCAGCTCTCATGCAGGAGAGCTGGAGACTGTAATAAGTAAGGCCGTGTCAGATTGTCCTTGGCACTCGGCTGCCACTACCCCTCCCAAGTTTTTTTAACAGTTTCAAAAATTGTCCCAGGGCCCATGATGTGCTGGTAAACGGGCTCTCAGGAAAAGAAGGCCCTGATCTGTACTGTGTTGCTGATTTCTATGGTGTAAATTCTCCCACCATGGCCAATTTCAAGCTACCTACAACTGAACGAGTAACTCACAAAACTCCTAAGATTTTAACAATTGGCTCCCACATACCATATCCAGGGGCCTTGATTTGGGGCACTAGGTGGTTTTGTGCAGTCCAGTGACAGAACTGGCAGCGGAGTCCCGCCCCCTCCTGATGGGCAAGGGGCAGGAAGGAGGCATGGTGATTTTCTTTTCTTCTCACAGAGACAAGTGACCACCCCTCATCTTTGTGCCTTTGTTGTCACTGTAATTGTGAAGGAGCATGGCTCACCTTTCCAGAGTAGGTCTGAGAAACAGACTTGGCGAATTGTTAGTGAGTGTCTTAGTGTCTTACTGCTGCTACAACAGAACTACCACAAGTGGATGACTTTAAGGAACAGAAATTGATTTTCTCACCGATAGGAGTCTACAAGTCAGAATTCAGGGCACTGGTTCTAGCGGAAGGTTTTTTCTCTTGGTCGGCTCTGGGGGAAGGTCCTTGTCTCTTTTCAGCTGCTGTTCCTTGGTTCCTTGTCAATCTCCACCTGGCATCAGTCTTTCCCAGTTTGTCCTTGCTTGCTTCTGTGCCTAAACTCCTCCTCTTATATCTCAGAAGTGATTGGCTTAAGACACTCCCTATACTGATATGGCCTCATTTACACAACAAAGAAAATCCATGGGATTGTTTCCACATGTATAGGGGTTAAGATTTACAACACAGATTTTCAGAGGACACAATTAAATCCGTAACAGTGGGTATTATGTGAAATACAAAAGGGCCACACTGCCAAACAAGTTTTGGAAACTCTGGGTTAAGCTGCATTAATCCCATTCTTCACTGAAGGACTTTTTGGAGTTTTTAATATCCTGATATGAACTACATAATACGCCAAAAAAAAAAAAAGATTTATTTTTCAATCTCATCTGACCATTGCATCTTTTCTTCATAAGAGCCTGTCTGTGCACTTTGGAAAAATCTACACTAGCTTGAAGCATTCACACATTTGTGCCTAGAAAACGCAGATGGTTCTCGCAAAGAGTAGGCAAAGGCATAAAACCCATAAGACAGTGGGAACCAGAACGAGAAAAACTAGTTTGAACCCAGGCTTAGCTGGTTACCAACTCTATGGGCTCTTGTCAAGTCATGCGGAAACTCTCTGGGCCTTTGTTTCTTTATCTGTAAAATGGGAACAAGCTTACCTACTTTATGTGGTTGTTGTGAGGATCAAATGAAACAACATATTGAGAACGTTTTGTAAAATATGGAGAATACCACAAATTATAAAGGATTTGTATTATTCTTTCTAGAATTACAGGATGGAGGAAGGGGTATCAGTCTGAACTAGCTACTGACTCTCCTGAGCAAGGCAGGGACTCACAGCTACTGAAGTGGGGGGGGCGGGTGGGAGTGAGGGGAGTTACCCCAGCAGCCAACCCATGCCCCAGTGACCACAGGCCCTTCCCAGGACACTCAGGTGGACAGCTTCTCCTTAGAAGCAGTCCTGGCACAGGCCCAGGAAGCAGCTCCCCCGAGCTTCTTCAACAGTGCCTGAGCCAAGCTCCTGAGAGAAAGCATGGAGCGTGTTCCAACACACTTTCTGGCTGAGTGCACCCCAGACTAGCAAAAAGCCTTGGAAACACCATAAAAGACAGAGTTGGGGGAGGTTCATGCCATCAGGACAGGGAGGGGAGTTGAGAACTAAAAAGGGAAAGATAATGGACCCTCCTCCAATCTAGAGCGTTGCTGTGATCTGGACTTGGGACTCCCACCCGTCTTAGTTTCCTAGAGCTGCTGTAACAGAAATATCACAAGCTGAGTGACTTTAACAAACAGAAATTTATTTTCTCACAGTTCTGGAGGCTAGAAGTTGGAATTGAGCGCACCAGCTCTAGGGGGATTCTCTCTCTGTCTACTCTGGGGGAAAATCCTCGTCTTAGCTTCTCTACCCCTGTATTCCTCAGTTCCTCAGTGATTTCCATATGGCATCTATCCATCCACCATTGTGCTTGCTTGTCTCTGTGCCTAATCTGCTCTTTTTATATCTCAAAAGTCATTAGGTTTAAGACACACCCTGCACCGATATGGCCTCCTTAATATAACAAAGAAAACCCTATTCCAAAACAAGATTACATCCACAGGTATAAGGGTTAGGATTCCAACATTTGGGGTGTGGGGGGAAGGAATTTAATCCAGAACACCAACTGTCACAGGGAGTGAAACTCTCAGGGAAAAATGATGGCTCTGAACATCACACTTATAGTCCACCCGAAGCACACAGGCTTTCTGTAAGAGGGTTCTACCAGCAATTTTGAGGCTAGAATTCAAAAGCAGTTATGGATGGAATAAGTCCAGAGTTGAGGGGGCCTTGAGACCAATGAGGCTGCCTCTCTTCTAAGCCTGAAGCCCCCCTCCACTCTTTCTTCACCCTAACACCACTCAGGACAGTTCTCTTGCATAAGCTCTTTGATGCAAACTTGGGTTCAAGATCAGCAGCCCAGCTTAGAAGCAGAGCAGGTGGCAGGTGATATGTGGCAGCTGTCCAGCTAGGCTGCTAAGCTGAAGAGCTTACCAGGAACACCTGCCCAGGTGAGGCCCTCAGCCTTCCCCCTTCAGGCCGAAGGAGTCTTGGGGTTCGGTCACATTTTCACCCACTCTCCCTGATGTGAGTGGCCAGCAGGAAGCGGCAGCTCTCCTCCGCTATACCTACTTGGCTCTACCCACCAGCCACCAAAGTCCACCAGCCACAGACACAAAGATGGTATAAATCAAATCCTTGTAGGTCTCAGGCTCTTGACCTTGGCCAAAGGAAGAGAGAGCTCTAATCACACCCAGAAGAACTTCCTTTGTGTTGATGCTAGCTGCTGCTGAGTGGGTCACAACTATTAGAGGGCGTCAGCATCAACTGAGCTTGTTGAAATGCAGATTCCTAGGTGCCACCAAGACTGACTCGCAAAACTTTTAATTCAGTTGGATTGGAGAGACCAAGGCATCTACTTTTTTTTTTTTTAAGTTTTTAAAAATATGTATAATTAGGTTAGAATTTTATTTCAAGATAGTTACATAGTAAATTATTTGTTACAAAAATGAGATAGAATCTGATAGAGTTGAGAACCACTTTCAGATTATGTGCTACTTTGTCTTTGTAAAACAAAGTAAGTGTAATTATAAGTGTTTTGCACATGGTAAATACAATGTTTGTTGACTTGGTCAATTTATGGTTCTCAAATTGCTTTTGTGTACATTGTTGCATTTGATTACTACTGTTCTAAGTCTGTGTCTTAGTCATCTAGTGCTGCTATAACAGAAATACCACAAGTGGATGGCTTTAACAAAGAGAAGTTTATTCTCTCCAGTCCAGTA